GTAGCAACCAGCATAGGAGCAGCCATCTGTACACAGTAAAAACACACTATTGACTTATGAGGGCGCTTTTGCACACAAACTGTGAGGGCGCACTAATACAAAATACATATATCCTACACGGGCTAAGCCCACAAAACGCCATTCTATTCGATGTCCGTTTGGAAGATTTACTATAATACTCAGATAACTTACTATTCATGTCATTTCCAACATGGCAATCAACGCGAGCACATCTAGAGACAGGGGCGGATCCAGCAAAATGTATTGGGGGGCCCATAGGTCGAATACACGGGACCGCGCGATTCGGACGATGCTATGCGTAATCCAGATGATTTTCATGCGTTTGGAGGGGCCATGGCCCCCAGCCCCCCTCTGGATCTGCCACTGTCTAGAGACACTGCTCTCGAGAAAAAAAATGACGATGAGACTCTGTAATTCTTTCTGTTATTCTGCACTCCGCACTCTCAGAATTTGCTTAAATTGGTATCTTGTTACTATGAGTAATCATAGTTGAAATTACTGAAGATTGTCGTATATTCGTAACAAGTTTGGACGTTCGCTAGCCCGTGCTAACCACCCGTGCGCGAGAGCAATTGGGTCTAGCTCATATGCAAACGTAAACCTCAGATTAGCTTTTGACTTGCAATTGGAGAGAATCTTAATATTTAATGAAATCGAATTCCATGGATGTGCTCGGTGTAGCCATGGACGTTAGTATGTCCATGGTGCAGTTAAAACTGCGCATATACTTACTAATATACTATGTTCTAGTTTTTAAACAGGGAAAGTGTTCAAAACTACTATATTGGAGGCCCTATTTAGACGTCAGGCGAGGCGTATCAGTTGTTCCGGTGAGATCGTAAAGTTAGCCTCAGATTCACTTCATATTCACAACCCAGCCTCCGACTGATATTGATGTGGAAAATACAATCTTATAAAATAAGATCCTATTGTTGGCATTTTTTATTCTATTATATTTTATTCTCGCAAATAAATAAATATATATAACAATAAAATGTAGCCTTATGTCTGTAAGCAAATCTAAAAAATGGAAAGGTGAAATAAAATGTTTGAGATAAAAATAAATAAATAAATGACATTGTTATGATTTGAGGCTATGACGTTTAGTTTAGTTATTTGCATAATGCTATTGATACAATGTATGGAACATCTCGTGAGTATTTAGACTCAGTTCTAGACCTAGCAGTTGAGCAGTAAACACCTTGGCTACAAGTGCTCCTCTCCAGTGCGTTATTCTCCTCCTGGATTTGGTGACCAATACTCACTTGGTTCACTCTACCTTGAGAAGTCTGTTCTCAGTTTACATACATACATGCCAAGTAGTATGGCGTAGACTGTAGAATATAGAACACTGTTGTGTTACTTTATTCTAAATAAAGGGTCACAACATTCTAGTAACAATTCACTTGATGTCACTATTTAAATAATCACATCACAACAGTTCCTTAATATTTTTTTCGAGGTTGGCGTCCAAAGACACGACACTCTCCTCATATAGGGCGTTTGCTCCTAGCATGCTCCACGCACATAAAACAAACCATATCCAACGTGCTATACCCAACATCAAATTGTGTGTGCGTGAAGCATGTTGGGAGCATGCGCCCTATGTCTTGGCTGGTTCCCGCCTCAAGTTTCGCTGGTTCCAGGCGTCTCTTGCGAATTGCTCGGTGCGTCATAGTCCCAGGGGGGGGGAGGCAAACGATTTTTTCACTTTAAGGTAGAGATGCAGTTTAGACAATGAAGATGGTATTATATATCCAACATGTTATATATTTTCTGAAAGCTTATTATACAAACTTTGTAAAACTTGTCTTTATTTTAAATATCCAGAATGCGTTTTTGATTTTGGGTCAAAAATATGCTTTTTTGGACAAAAGTGGTTTAAAAAAAATTAGCTTAAAAACTTCAAGTCCATTTGTGGATAAAATTACATCACTGGATACCTTGGTATACTATAATTCAAATGCGTCCACTCATCTCTCTAACGACTTTCAAAGTCGCACAGCATGACCTCAAAGTTCACTCTTTTCTATTTTTGCATAATTTATATATCCATGTTAATTGCGGACTTGTTATTTTTGTTCCACTCGCCGTAATAAACTGTCCGGACGCGTTTTGAAGGGGAAACACCTTGTCAATAATGTGTG